CTATCCTTACAAAAAAATAAATAACAATTGATGCAGCAAGGTTATTAATTATTACTAAGGTAAATATATTATTCACAAACGTTCTTTTAAATTGATTTATTTTTAGACTCAGACAACTGGTTAACTGCATTAACTAATAGCCAATAGGAAGATAGGTAATATAGGTATTATCGTATACTGGAGATGTTTAGCGATTATTGATCATCTTCTGTTGGTTCAATATAGCTGAAACAAAATTATTTTTGTTTGCGTATATAATAGTACATCATCGGTATTATATTATAACAATATAACTTATATACAATTCATGCAATTATATAAATTACAAGTTTTCATGCAGTCTCACCAATAATTGGTGTAAATTATTTACAACGCGCGATTGCACGGAGTACACTTTTTGTATATTTTGTCGACGATTCCACTAAGAGAACCATAGTTTGAGTCACGCCGGTGGGCTACGGGAATTTGTAACTGATATCCGAAATTTTTTAATGTTTGTTGACACGGACTATGTGCAGGATCCTCGGAAACATACGGATATGACACTCTGTATTGTAGGAATAATAATTAATTCATCAGACATCGGGTCATATGTTATATAGCATATAATATTTTCTTTGAAAATCTATCATTTATATAATTAGAACAATTTAACGGTTCAGTAAAAGCTTTTATGTGTAGGTACTTAGTTGGCGATGGTTGAACATTTGGTGGAACCTGGATTTCGTAAGGAAATCCACCTGCAGCACAGTTACAAGAAGAACCAACCACATGGCCAGTCGATAGCTCCGACGGACAGCTTCTATCAATATTTTGAGCACTGAAATAGGGATATGGGGTATTCGTTGGGCAAACCGAAGTCTRAAAAAGGATAAAATATATTATTATAAGCATGGGAAATAGTAATTAAAACTATTACTATATCACATTAGGTATGATGCGTTATAGATACCTGATAATTTTGATAATTTATATTACACGAACAGGTTGGACACGGGGAATTGTAAGGGTTATCATTTGGAATACCACACATCGGACAATAATGCTAAAAAAAATCACCACACACACAATTGAGTTTCTTTTTATTTAAGAAAAATATATRATAGAATAATTTGGCTGTATGTATGCGATCAATTTTTTTTTTCTAAAAGTCAATATGTAAACCACGGAAAAAAAATTAACCTTATTACAGTCTGTGACAAAACCTGCAATGATATACATTACACAAACTGCAGCAATTTATTTTATGTACCTATATACTATATTCTGTAATATATACATATCGTCATATCGATACGATAATATAAATTATATATAGTACCTTTATATAGGTACCAAAATCTTTATGCATTATACCATTTATACCTAAATGTTATKGGGTGCGTATATCGTTTAATTAATCTTGTTAAGTTGCGTAGAAGTTGGTTAGATAAATACAAAAGTATTTTTAAGTTTTATTTCAACATATCTATAAATATCGGTTTCTTTACTTGTTATAATAGTATAATAATACTAGCTAATTACATTTTTATTAAATATGATATAATATTATAATATACTAATACAGGTGTAACAGTTCTATTTAACTAATAATGGAGGACGGAGGTGGTATGAACCACATGGTTATGTTAAATAATGATAAAATATATGTATTTATTATTGATTACCTAATGTTTAATGATAACAAAACACTGATTAACAAGAAATAAATTTGTATTTTAACAAACTTTGAAAATTGTTTAAAAATCAATTRCATAATCAAATTAAAAGTTATTCTTTTTTTGAGCTTTGCAATACACATATTATTTTAACTAAATAATCAAAGAGCCAGTAAAAATKTTGCCCCACCCTAAGAAAAACTGAAATGACGCCCCTGTATGAGGTGGTAAATTGAGTCCTGGGAAAAAACAGGTAATAGGTAAGTTGGGTCCCGTGAAAAAAGCTACTAATTAAAAA